AATGTCACAACATCTTGGTCTTCATATCTTCAATATACGTTTAAATGTTGACGGTAGTCCTACTAGATAAGAAGGCAAGCAGGGTTTTAAGATAATCCTAAATGATAAATCTGATAAAAATATTATTAGGTCGATATGATCAGAAGACGGCGCCTGATCTCCGTTCATCTGCAGTCGTTAAATTATGCTATCACGTTGAAGTTGACGCAGTTAACAAGGCATCCTTCGTGCCCAACCTTCTTCTGTAATTCAACTGTACTTCATCATAGCAAAAGTTTCACAACAACTCTAAGTCAAGACTACATTACTTCAGCTCTATGCACACATTAACTGGAATAATTATATATACCAAGATTTAAAATGATTAAGGCTCGATTACTCACATATCTTACGGTTTTTGTTAACACTAAGGGTAGGATAACGTTCCCTTTGCTGTGTAGAATTGGCTAGATCACATTTTCCCAACTTCGTGACGTTTACAGCGGGACCTCAAAGAGCTTAGCACGTACTAAAGGGCAATGCAGAACAAGGAAAAGGACGATTGATCCACCCTTCTCGATGATACTCCTGAGAGAACATTGTCTTGATGACGTTCAATTGGCCTAAACTGATCCAACGGGAAATTTCTTAGCTCCGTTTCTTCAGAAGACGACTGATCCTCAGACATTCGATTCTTCTATTACGAAATGACCTCCAGTTCGGGTGAATCCGATATGAGCTTTCATTCATTATATGACGGTAAAAAAATGTATATAAATCTAGGAAGATTTAGTTAGTTCCTTCACATAACAATCGAGGCAAGCATTTTTTGGTTATAATGTGTGTTTGGTGGTATACATTGGTATGTTTGTAAGCGCCAGTTTTAAATATGAGTAATTAAGACAGCTTAATGTCAATCCAATAACTTTAAGGTTTGATGATCCAAGAGAGGGTATGAATGCTATTGCGTAATCCCAGGTAGAGTTGATTGACCTAACCGAAGTGTGCTACTATACTATTTAGTTTTAAGGACAAGTTAATTGAAAGGAATTCGTGAATTCGTTACAACGGAAACTGAAAGAGGCCTTCAAAGTAAGACTGTTGGATTGCACGGATAAGTTTTCGATTCATCGTCAGGCAACCTCGAGGATTCCATGCTGAGAGTTCGTCTGACATGTGTCAGAAATCGTAAAAAGTAAATCTGCTGCCGGCTGCAGTTCCATTCGGTTCTTATACCTAATCTTGATTCTTCGTCGGTTCCCTTATGCTTAGCATTGAATATTTGCAAATAGGTGAAGTTGATGTCTGAAATATACTAAGCTTGATCGTGTAATGTTAATCTATGTTTAGGTGTGTGGTATTGTGTATTGTTTTTATGCACTGTTTAAGTGATATGATTTGTGAGAGCCATAACCAGACTCGAGGCTATGCCGCCTCATAAACGTCAATATGGTTAGAAAAAAAGAGCAATGAGCTCAGCCAGCGTCATCGCAACTGAAGAAGGATGTCTCGTTTTCTGAATCAATCTGAACGTTGGCATGAAGACCAAGATGGTGTGGCCTTTTGTGTGGTCGCAGTTTCCTTTCGTTGTATAGAGGTTGTTTGACCTTGTTTTCGCAACGTGGGCATATTGGTAGGATGACTTAGAGAAACACACCTAGTCCGGGGTCCATTGTCTGCATGATCATTTCCAAAGTTGTCATGTCGCTCAAAGGAGCACACCACACTATCTAAATAAAGATGGTAAAATTGTACTAGTGAAGACATGATAGGATGATACCGAAAACGCGAATAACCCAGGGCAGAAGGGGAGATACCACAACTGTTTAGCATAAGTTTGCTCAAAGGATCGGCTTCACTTGTCTCTTTGACTATTGTTTTGTGGTTCTAAGAATGGCGATACTCACTGACGATGCCGACTACGATGCTGGCGAAACGTTTGGAAATGTACCACGTCCACGGTTCAACTTTGTAAATGATCATGCAGACAATGGACCCCGGACTAGGTGCGTTCCTCTAAGTCTTCCTACCAATCTGAACGTTATTATAAAAACAATCAAGGGCAAATCAACAAGAGTGAGCCGTCTTATGGAGAGATCTACTTACGAATCTCCTCGTTAACTTTGTGCACTAGAAACGGAAGTTGCCACAACAGGTCCCACTATAGAGTATGAATAAGGATTCGTCTGGTTTATTTAAAATTCACATCTTTTCCTTTGACCCATCTGGCTCTCCTGACTGTGCAAGTAGGTCTAAGACCCAGTTGAGGTGTTGATGAGCCCTAATCTAGGTGAGAAGGCCTTTTGCAAAGCAAGTCTATGGGTAATTCAATGAGCCTGC